GTCCCTGTCGGCTCTTCGTAGCCACCGAGCGCATCCATCGTTCCTCCAGGCAGCCAGAGAATCGTGATCCAGGCGCACAGCAAGCTCACGAGGCGCGTCATAGAGCCCACTCAGCTCTACGTATAAAGCCTTGCGCGTATAATCTCATGACTGACATCGTAGGATATGCTTACTCGTCTCACAGCTCGCACGCCTTTGCGCTTCCTCACATCCAGCCTGTATCTGTCGAGTCTGCGCCCGTCAAACCACCAATCGTTGAACCTCCCGAGCACATTACCGCGCACGATGTCTACCTCTACGTTCACCCTCGACCCTGCCATCTTCAACAAGACACTATACAGAAAGATAACAGACATATGGTTCCCTGGCGTCGACACCAGCGGCAAGGAATTTGACATGAGCATCGCAAAGCGCTGGTTCGCAGGCAGTCCTGAAGAGCGACTTGCCCTCGACGGCCAATGTAGGGATGTCTGCGGCAAAGCCCTTGAGGCTATTGGCCCAGAAAAGTTCCCAGAAGCGAATGCGCAACCTTTCCTAGACGAGATTGCGCGCGTCGCGGAGGAAGAGAACAAGGCAGATGGCGCGACAGGAGAAGATGCAGCTTGGACAGCACTGAGCTTCGCACTCCTGTTAGACCAGATGCCGCGGAATATCTACCGCACAGAAGAAGGGCTACGCCTGGTGTATGGGCATTACGATCGCATGGGAGATGCGCTCGCTCGCAACCTTCTATCCCCCGCATCGCCTATTGGCCGCCCCGACAAACATCCTGCGCTCCGTTTCTCTGCCGCGCATAGGACCTGGCTCTACATGCCGCTCATGCATTCGGAAGATCTATCCGCACACGATCTCGCCGACGAAATAATAGCGGAGTTCGCGCAAGAACTCGAGGGGTTGGACGGGTACAATGGCACGAAGATGTTGATTGAGAACTACCAGAAAGCTGCGAAGGAACACAGGGATCCGATAGAGCGGTTTGGTAGGTATCCGCATCGGAATGCTGCCTTGGGTAGGACTAGTACAGAGGAGGAAAGGAGGTTTATGGAGGAGGGTGGAGCTACATTTGGGGTTGCGCAGAATCAGAAGGGAGACTCTGCGAAGTCAAATGGAATGTAGATAACATAGTAGATGCTGAACTACTGCTATCCTCGTCATGGCCTTCCAATGTGTGTGTATGTGTGCTCGAAGTTTTTCAGATTGATGTGCTAGTAGTGCAACACAGACGCAATACTACAGTCTCCCCCCCGGTTCGGGTGCCTGGCGTAGATTTCAACCCCTTTTAGCTAATAAAAGAGCGTAGCAAGAGTAAAGCAGATACCTTTGCAATAAATACAGCCTTCTAAATAAGGCTTTATTTACTAGCTTTTCTTCTTAACAAGACTTACGTAATGCTAGCAAGGTGCGTAGTAGCTAGCAATAAGGGATTTATTAAATTACAACCCCTCAAATCGCTAAAACGCAGTAGGCACCCGAACTAGGGGGGAGACTGTAGATTGTAACCGCAATGCAAGTATTCTCTCTGTTACGAGATAGAGTATCACATCGTTACGCAGAAAACATATGAAGTCTTGACACGCTATCGTACAACCAGGTTGATTTGCTTAACAGGAGCATGTATATCTGCTGACCTTTCAATCTGAATATCTCAATAACCTACCTAATAATGCAAAAAGAGGTTCTGCTGCCAATCCTGGTCTGTCTGACCCCGCCAGGGCCTCCAGAAGCGCAAAAAGATGGGTCTTACCGCGACTCGAACGCGGGGCCTCTCGCAAGCTATGCTTGGGTTTGCAAGCGTCCGAAGACGCTTTCCCTAAGCGAGAATCATACCACTAGCTGTTGTGTGTTAGAAGTTGTTTGAATAGAATCGAATGCTTGGTACTTACACCATAAGACCAATTGAGCTGTTGTAACTGTTGATGGAGAGACAAAGAATTGGTAACCATATATCGTAATTGCACACAATCTAGCACATCCTGTAGCCCCGCCCTTCATTGACAACCTGTGTTAATAATGAAGTAATTGGTTGAGTCATGGTGAAGCTACGGCTCAGTGTTGGGCGGCTGAAGTCCGCATATGTGGGGACCACAACACGAACACGAACGATGGAGGGGTAATATGACTAGCTTACGATGGTACAAACGGTGCACACTGATAGTTTCAGAGTAATCTGACCATTGGTTGTTAAGATAATCGGAAGCTCAAATAACTCAAGTTGAGGTTGAGGTGGACATGGTACTTTTATACATAATCTTCTTTTTGCCACTACAAACAAGCAGCACACTAAAGTCAATCAACGATGCGTACAACAAGATATACAATAGCCTGGAGATTTACAGAATGATTTCAAAATAATTTCACAGGCCAAAAGCATCCTCTGGCGCATACATTGTTTCAAAAAACATCACAGTGAAAACAATGGTAATGCAAGGGTGTTCAAGTACGATTGTCGCGGCGGATGCGCTATCGCAAGGGTCGCTGCATCTTCGCCTCGACATCATGGACGCGCTCCTCGGAATCTTGGAAGCGCGCGTACCTTCCATCACCTCCGTCTACGCCGCATCAACGTCGCAACATCAACCTCCGATGGCGACCACGGCTTTACCTCCACCTTTGCACACGCTGGAAAAGTCATAATCCACCATGGTGCGGTTGCTGGTTCCTGAAGGTGAGTTTCGCGACCAGATGTAGCCCCAGTATCCTAACATAATCCAGGCGAGAGTCAGCATGCCATCACCGGGAGACCACCTGGCGCAATTGCCACACAACGCGACCTTATCGCATCGCCATGGAGATCATCAATCGCCGCTGCAGCCGTTACTGGCGGCTTCGCCCTTGTCGGCCGCTCACGACCTGGCGTGTTCCTCAAGTCCGCCGCCTTGATCGGTGCCGTAGACCTCACATTCACCGCGTCGGGTATCTATGGGCGACATGAACTGCACCGGGGCGTCTTCAAGATGGAAGGGATACAGCCCAAGCCGGGCAAGCTATGGGAACGGACAAAGCACTGGACGTGGGAAGATGCGACACTTGGGGGAGGAGTGGTGGGCGCATTTTTGGCACTGAACCCGCGTGCTCTACCCGGCGTCTACGGCTTCGCGCGATTCTTCGGAGCGGCTACAGTTGGGTGTGCGCTCGGATACAAGGCCGGACAGTTCTACATCGTTCGCCTGCCCCCACAACTACTTCAGCTCTTCGACTACACGGTGACGGTAAGAAATATCGCTGTACGAACTGCATGTGAGACATGTACTGACTTCGTACACCTACGTTTAGGTAAACCGTCAGCGAGAGTATGAAAAGTTGCAGGAGAACGAAAAGGCCAAATCGTCCCTTTCTCGAATCGGCAAACTCGCGCTCTGGTATCACACGTCTCAGACGATGACTATTCTTCGGAGCCCTCTACAACTTGGCGGTATCGGAGGGATGGGAGGATCTAGCGGTAGTCCTGGTGGTCAGCAGTCACCGCATGGTAGCCCGTTGCATGCATTGAAGGCTGAGATGGACAAAGAGACTGTCTTCCAGACCGAGTTCAAGGAGGGTGAACTTGCAGGACCCGATGTAGAGAACGGCTACCGCGCGTACAAGGACAATCTCCAGTCAAGAGATGCAAGCAAAATCCAAGACTGGTTGGAGCAAGTTCGGGAGCACAAGAACAAAATCGGTTCGGAATGGCAATACGTCTGGGGATACCTTGGGCAGAAAGAAGACGAGTTCTATCAGCATGCAGAGGAAGATGGAGAGAAGGATCTGCTTAGACGGGAAATCCAGCTGCTGAACAACATGGCCGCTGATATAGTTACCCGATGTGCAATCCTCGAGTACCACGAACGCGATGCTCTGAAGCAACTACGGCAAATTGAGCAAACAGGATCAAGCGTTGAGTCCGATGCAACATCCGAATCCATCACGACGCCATACGAATTCCCACACGATTCAGCCGAGATTGCGCAGAACAACTACCGTGGCCCACGCATCGTCACCGAGCGCATCCGCACGACCTGGTCAAGACAAAAAGAACTGTTGCGACATCTAGATCACCGCGTTTCTCAGGGTAGTGAGATAGCCGAAGCCGATAGAGGTTACCATGTCGCTGAGCACCTCAAGCGTCTGAAAGAGGATGCTGATCAAATGCGGAAGAATGTGGAAGCCACTGGGCGTCTGCTGCGACGGTTTGAGGATCGGGTTCGCGAGGCTGAGGAGGAGGCGAAAGAGAAGTCTCGCCAAAGCGGAGTTGATGAGGATAGTGAGCAGAAACCTACTTGACGTGGATGTTTGTCGCGCTTGGGTAAACGCTCGCTTTGCTACACGCCTGCTGATTGAGGTCCGGCGTTATAGTCTCCTCGGTTGAATACATGCAACGACTGATATCACGAGACTATTGGCCTGAAGGTATGCATGCCTTGCATAAATACGGCGAGGAATGAACTAGCAACCACGTCGCGAAGTCAGCCCGATGGCTCGAATATATCCGCGAGCATACATAGCTAGGATAGCACAACGAGCCATGTGAGCTGCGATACCTAGGCAGTAATGATGCTTCATACGCGAATCCGTGGCGTTGTATGTGGATAGTCCTGTCGGTGTCGATGAGACACTGGAGGGGCTAATCTTATTGGAAGGGACGCAGTCTATCCCTGGGGTACGTCAATTAAGTCGAAGCACTTTGGGAATTACTTTTGCAATGAGCTTTCCTGTGTATGGTAGAATATTTGAAAATATTCAGACGGCTAGGTTTTACCTGGGCCGCGTGAAAACTATGACTCAACTTTTTCATAGTGTAGGAAATACCGTACAAAGCTCCTTGAACGTATCTAGTGCATTTGCATCGGTTTTCCTCAAAATCGCAGTGGTGAGAGACGGCGATGGATGACGTAACCATTGGGAACTCAACGCGGGAATCTCTCGCCGCCGCACTTCTAGAAGACTCACTCCAACCGCCAAACTCACCACCGCATCGCGTATCCTAATCATCATCCCATACACGTCCTAATATCTCCATAATGCGCTCCGTACGTTCATCTGCAGCGCGCAGAATCCGCGCATCTATCGCCGAGCCCACCACTTCCTCGTTCCGCACGCGACCAAGGGCAACACCGTGCATGCTCTGCGCACATCGCATACCGCCCCAGACGATATCACGTCGATTCCAATCTTCATCTTCCAGCTCGAACAAAGTCGAAAAGCCATTCGAAACACAGCAATCTTCCACATCGCAATCGCCGCAGGTTCCTCAAACACACTACTCCTTCTTCCCCAACTCCTTGCCATCCGGCCCGCCTCCAAATGGCCCCTTCGCCATCGACCTCTCCGCTCTCAAGAAGGAATTCCTCCAACTACAAGCCCGCGCCCACCCCGATCTACACCCACAAGCCGACAAGAAACGCGCCGAAGCCCTCTCATCACGCATCAACGAGGCGTACAAAACACTCCAGAACCCGCTTTTGCGAGCGCAATACCTGCTATCCCTGCGCGGAATAGAAGTAGCAGAAGACGAGACAGCAAAGGTAGAAGACCCAGAGCTGTTGATGGAGGTCCTGGATGCCAGAGAGAGCATAGAGGAGGCAGAAAGCGAAGAAGATTTGGTGGAGATGCGGGAGCGGAATGAAGAGAGGATAGCGGAGAGTACGGAGATAATCGATCAGGCATTTAAGAGGGATGATTTAGAGGCGGCGAAGAGCGAGGCGGTTAAGCTGAGGTATTGGGTCAATATTAAAGAAAGCATTGAGAACTGGGAGAAGGGGGCGCCGGTTGTGCTGCAGCATTAGGTGGTGTGGTGGAAGATTGAAAGGCTGCACGATACTACGACTCGAAATGCCGGAATAATCCAGCTATCCATCGACTATCCATCTCTCCTAAACAGGAACAGTGATAGGGTTCATAACCCCCGCCCCGCCATCAACTCTCAACTCAGCGCCCGTAATATAGCTACTGAACCCACTCGCCAGAAATCCAACCGTCCTTCCCACTTCCTCCGGTCTACCCGCCCTCTCCAGCCCAATCGTCCTCTTCTGACTCTCCTCACCCTGCAACGCAGCAGGCGGAAACTGGCCCTGCGCCATCTCCTTAACCCCACAATCCTTCAGATCAACACCCACATCAATCTGCCCAGCCGTAATAGCATTAATACGCACGCCCGTCCCCTTGAGCACCAAAACCCCCGAGCGCACAACACCAAGCGCAGCATGCGACGCCATAGTAAAAGCAGGCGCCCAACACCCCCCATACGTCCCCGCAACACTAGTCACAACAATAATACTCCCATACGGAACATCCTTCGGCGCAGCATTGGGATAACTCCCTTTCGGCGTCGTCTTCTGCATAGCAGCCGGCGCGTACTTGAGCGCGAAGAAAGCCGGCATGGCGTTTGTGTCAAACGCGGCGTACAGATCCTTTGGGCCTGTTTGATTGATGGACGGCGGGCCGAGGAGACCGGTAGAAGATGTCCAGACGTCAAGCCGGCCCCAGGAGTTTAGCACGTCGTCGATGAGGGCGAGGGTGTCTTCTTCCGAGTTGATCTTGTAGGGGTAGCCGATTACTTTTGTGTTGGGGTATTGGGTGTTTATTGAGTCGGCGAGTGAGGCGTAGGGTTCCGAGGGGAGGGAGGAGCACGCGTATATGCAGGCTGCGCCGTGGGCTGGAGGGGGGTGTTAGCAGGGAGCTGTGAGTGTGGTTGAGGGGGTGTGATGTACCGGCGAGTTCAGCGACGATTGCTTTGCCTACGGGTTGTGTTGCGCCTGTTACTACGCATACGAAGCCATACTTGATCACATCGCAATGTCAGCCAATGGTGTGTTTCGTATCCCAGGATGATGACCACTTACCAATTTCCCATCTGCTCTGTACGGCGAAAAATGCTCCGAATCCGTGATGCCCGCATCTCTCACTCCACTTCCATTCGTGTTGTTGGCCATGGCTGCGGATACCCACGAAGTATTTCAGTAAATTCGCAATGAACAAAGGTCAATATAGAAAAGACACGCGCAACAGCGCGTCTATAGGACATCACATCATTGTTAGCTATTGATTGACAGCTGCTTGCTTGGGCAGGAGGTATTATGTCAGTGTACATATCCACGGGGCGCGGAGATGCGGAACAGGCGTACGATTGCTGGCTGGGTTGGCAGCTTATCGGCATCTTATCGGGCTGCATGGTGGCTTCCGCGGGGCTCTCGTGGGGCAGGAGAAAGCCAGGGTAGCTTCGTTTACGGACAGCTCTAATTAGTATACGCGTGATGGGATCGCAAAAGTGAGGAAAGTTTTAAGATGTGTATTTGTGAGCTTTGAAGCTCCGTTGTATCGCATTCGTCACCTGGTTCTGACAACCAGTCGTCATCACACTCGTACATCGCCCACTAACGCCCTTCAAGATGCTCAGACCCCTAGTATCTGCCTCACAACGCCGCCAATGCCTGCTTCCCATGACACACTCTATGCCGTCTTCGCTTTATCATCTTCCTGGTTCTGCCTCAACTTTTCCCTCGGTGGCAGCACGTCGGGCCCAAAGCTGAGCGGAAGCAATTCGCCCATCGTCCTCACAATCCACTTTCCTTCCTTGTTGAACATGAAAATGGGTGTCTCTAATGCCAGAAACTCGCGCAAGAATTGTCTGCACATTCCGCACGGCGAGCAGAAGTCGTCGATGTCGGTTGTAACGCCGACGGCCTTGAAGCTTCCGATGCGGTGGCCTGCGATAACGGCGGTACCCATGGCGACACGCTCAGCGCAGGTTCCAACTGGGTAGGCCGCGTTTTCTACGTTTGCGCCGATTATAGTGTGGGCTGCGGATGTATCGGTTGCAGAGGAGGTGGTCAGGAGGAGGGATGCGCCGACGCGGAAGAGCGAGTATGGGCCTAATCAAGCAGTCTATTAGTACCGATCTCCAACCTAGATATCCCCAACATCCTCTACCATCATGCGCTGCATCATAAAAGTCCAGAAAACATACAATAAGCCCTCGCCCTAGCATCAAAGCACTGCTCGCCCAAAACCTGCAGCTCCTGCGCCGAAACGCCATGGATCAACCCATCTTTCTCGGTCACAGCTTCACCAGGGCTGAACTTTGGTACGGCGGTTGTGGACATGGTGGGAAAAGGAAAGGAAGGAAGAGAAAGGTGCGACGCGACGCGGGGAGCATTTGGGGAAACTGGATGACGCCAGCCGAGGTTTGCCAGTGGGGCGCTGAGCTATGGCGACAAAGGAAGGTTCGGGGACCTCCGATGTGTTACGGAAGACACAAACGTCGTTCAAACTGTTTAGTGTTATCAGTCACCATCGTTCCAAGGTTCCAGCGTATGGGTACAACTCTAATGGTGCTGCTGATGATAGCAAACCTCATGTTGCGCCCCTACCCTGGCTGCAGTCGTCTCCTCGAGCTCAGTCGGTTGCCTCATTGCAACACAAACGGCTACAAGAAGTCTCGCATACGTGCTGAGCGACAGAACCTTACAACAAACAGCATACCCAAACCTGGAACACTTGGCCATGGCTAAAAGCAACAGGACTGAGATGTCCAAATGCGTTCCAGAACGTGTTCTCACCACCCCCACTTTCTTTGTCTCACTTTCTTTGTTAACCCGTCTCGGAGTGCAAGATTTGGTACCCAAACAACGCTACAATTATTCGGAGTCTAACATCCAAACATTGTAAGGAAAACCGCTTCCATCCTCTTTCTATCCGGATGTCATCTGTAATTCACAACTTCATCCGACCTACGCGCGGTCGCCTTCTCAGTCGCGACTCTACCTACTATCAAGTTCTACTTCCGGCCCTTGGTTCTTGTGAACCAGGCATCTTCTTCCTTTCTCTTTGCATCCTCGGCTTGTTTCTTCTGATCTTGTCGCTCTTGATATTCTCTTCGGTCTGCAGCGTCAGCTACTCCCTCGCAAGCCTGGCACCCACCGCTCGCATAGTAGTCAATTCCGTGCGCCTCGCATCGCAACAGGTGCTTTCTGCACCAGCCGGTCTGTCCACACCAGCAGTGGTGCGTTACCTTGGATCCATATTTTCGTGCCATAGTAAGATTTGGAAAGGGTCGGGAAGTCTGTTCGGTTGAGTGCTGGTGTGAATCGATACGTGTGTTATGCTCGATTACTTGGAGAGTGATCAGGCGTATTTAACTACCCAGGAGTCGGGCTATTGGGCCTTGAATTGAAAAGCAGTGTAATCACTGCCTTTCTCTGGCGTTCGTTCTTCATCTTGCTGCTTCATTCGCACACGGAAACCTGTCGGATCGGATTAACCCCACACTCTCTTTGTGAAAGTCGCCCTCCAGCACTGTTGCATTTCACACAACGCTCACATCACCTCTTATAACGTCGAACACCGCTGTTTCTTTATTGGAGCTTGCCAACCAGACTCCACCACTCCATTGGTCTGGAGATATGTCCGATACGAAGATGTCACCTAGCGCTACGCCCATGGAACAGATGGAGCCTGCGCGAGAGACTGGGAGTGACTCGGCTTCTATCGCAAGCTCCGACGTCTCGACTACCTCCACTGAAATGTTCGAACATGAGCCCTTCGAAACCTTCCAGTTCAAGGTCGTCGAGCTATGCCAGAAGGAGTGGCCGCATCTCTCTAAAGACTCCTTCACCATCACACGTATGGATGGTGGATCTTACAACCGTGTGATCAACATCCAGGTCGACGGTTCTCGATATCAAGCTAGCTGGCTTGAGCGGCAGGTGCGCTGGTTTCTTCGAACGTTTTGTCCCGGTATGTTACGCAAGACGGAGGCTAGAGACTATGTGCTGCGTATACCGCGCATGGAGCATGCGTGGGTTGAACATGAAGTCTCTATCCTCAAGTTTCTTGCAGCGACGAGCATTCCAGTACCCAGGATCAAGACTTTCAGCTTCTCAGTCGAGAACCCAATTGGTAGCCGATACACCATCCAGCCACGTGTTCCAGGGAAGTCAGTAATTGACGTCTATTCTGAGCTTAACACGCAGCAGCGCATCTCCTTCGCGCGAGATCTAGGCTCTGCACTCAAGGAGATGAGCAAGATCCAGTCGCCATCTCCTGGCACACTGAACCCAGACAGCATTCTCGCTGGATCATCAGAAACGCAGCTACTGCGATTACAATGCCCACCACGAAACGCGTTTTGCCAAACCAATGAGCCCTTTGTGGCAGCTACCCCTCAAACTGTCCAAGAATTCCTCATGTCACAATTCGCTCGTCAACGCGCATTCGATCTAACACTCAATCGCAAATTCTTGAACCCTTGGAAGCCATTTACAGCCATCATTCAGCATCTACACACGTTTGGCTTCCTTGACGACAACATCTACGCACTTACGCATATGGATCTCGAGCCACGCAACATGCTCATCCACATTACCTCTCCCACCACCGCGACCCTCTCCGCAATCTTAGACTGGGATGAAACTGTCTTCGCCCCCACCTTCATGAATTGCCGGTCCCCATACTGGCTCTGGAACTTCGAAGAGAGCGATGACGAACCGGAAGAGGCTGATGCAAACGACATACCGGAAGACGTCGATCTTGCGGCCGTAAAGAAGTCGTTTGAGGATGCCGCCGGAGAGGACTATTGCAAGTTGGCCTATACGCCTGAGTACAGGATCGCGAGGGATATTACTAGATTGGCTATTATGGGGATTTGGTCTAATATGGACTATGATGATGCGAAGGAGATCTTGAAAGAGTGGAATGCGGCTTATCCAGAATTGGAGGTATGTGGGATATTCGATGATGGGGAAGAAGATTAGGGTCGTAAGAAAGTGCGATGTTGTCGTAATACTATGAGATGACATGTTAAAAGAAGCGCTTTAGTAATAGATAACTTGACGTCTTTTATGTTTGAGTAATACTACGCCGTTCCTACCGTTTCTACTGATTGCTTTCCCTGATAAAGTTGCAACTCGCTTCAGAATCCACATTCATCGTCAAATTGGCCTTTTTGAGCACGCGGGACACATTTGTAGCGGTGCAAAATCAACCGTACACCCACTGGACATGCTTTCCATAGTGAACGTCTTCAGTTCTGAAAACAGCTAAACACACCACCATCCATTATCGCACATACCCTATATGGATCACCCAGCTGAAGCCGCGAATCCTTTGGTAGATCAAAAGTTACTGCATCGTTGATCCTGAAACAAAGAGGGGTCGTGATGTGCAAAGAGACATCCCACTCCCACCATACAGAATACCCATCTAGCATCTCTAGGTAAGCCACATCCACTATTAATCACGCCCTACGCGCATCTCCGCCGTCTATCGCGAATGCTGATCAGCCATCTGACCAAAAGCCATCGTGTCTGATGCACAAGGTCGCAAGCGGCTCGATGTAAGTCCGCCGCTAGCTTAGCCGCGCCGCTAGAGTAGGGTTAGATCTGGGGAAGTCGCGCGTGTGCGCTGCGGAGAGTGTCCGACTGGACGTTGATGGTGCGCACGCTCGTTGGTCGCTTAGAGAGAGACGGGAAAATGGCGCACAAGTGGCGGAGCCTATCTGAGAGCTGGACTATAAGCTATCTTCTTTTTCGGTGGAATGCGTCCGAAAAAATCGGGACTAGAGAATGGAACTTGGTAAGAAGCACGGTAGGGCACAGCAAGTGGTGATGTAGATGAAGTGATGGTATCATAAATCATAGATAATGGATATATACAATGCTGCGCTGTGAAGCGAAAATCAAACAGCTAGTCGGGTATTTACAAGTGTGGTAGGGAATCTCTCATAACTCTTCATAAACTCCGCGGAGTAGATGCTTAGACAACAGTCTTCTCGGGGTACTCAGTGTAGGTAGCGCTCCTCTTGCGGGAAGCATCAGCCTCGATATCGGTAAGGCTGGCGCGGCGGTTGTCGGCATGCATGTCCTGGACGTCCTGGAAGGAGATGGAAGGAACGAAGCCGGGAGACTTCCAGGCCTGGGAGCACTTGCCGTAGAGC